CTGGGATTAATTTGTCTACAAGATTAGGGGAGTTGAAGACTAGTTGGGTCGGCGACGGTGTGACGAAGGGGGAAGACGGGGGGGAGAGGGAGGGAGGGAGGGGGCGGAGGAGAGAGAGAGGGAGGGAAGGGCGGAGGAGGAGGAGGAGGGCAAGAAAGGGGAGGGAAGGGGAAGCGGAAAATGGAAGCTGAGAGGCAAGAACAGATGTTACAAGAAAATTAGAGGATAAAACGGAATTCGGAGAGAAATATTTGAAGAAAAACCGTAGTAATAAACAAGGGGAGGAGGCGCGGCGGGGAAGGAACATGACAAAATATAGAAAAGATAAGGAGAAGAAGAAGAAGAAGAAGAAGGGCAGCTTCGTGTGCATTGCCAGAAATTTGGAGGAGGAGGAGGGAAGGGGGAGGGGGGCGAAGAGGAAGAGGACGAGGGAGGGAGAGCGAAGAGGAAGAGGATGAGGGAAAGAGGCGAAAGGAGAGAGAGCACGCGATAGAGAACGTCTTAGCCTGACGTCGTTGTCCTTAAAGAACTAAATATAGGGATGCGGAAAAAGATGTGAGGTGGGCGGATCCGTCGTGTGTTTCTTCAGTCTTTGTTTACACACGCACACACGCACACGCACACGCACACGCACACGCACACGCACCGCACACGCACACGCACACGCACACGCACACGACACACGCACACACACACGCGCACACACACGCACACACACACACACACACACACACACACACACACACACACGCACACGCACATACGCACACGCACACGCCCTCTTTGCTGCATGAGAGAGCGCGAGGTTCATGATTTGCGTGCGCCATTCGGACGCATCCAGGACGACCGCCGCGACGAGCAAGAATTGGCCCAAACGATGCGCGAAAGATGATGATTGCACTTATAGTCTGTTGAGGCGAATTCTCCTTCGTTTTGGCAGCCATGCAGGCCAGTAGTGAGGCGCACGCGAGCCGGAATTCAACAGGGGAAAGGCATTTTTTTTTGCGTTTTTAATGGCGAGAGGAAAAAAGCTGAGGAAATATGTATTTATAATTTAGTATGATTTTTATTCCTATTTCCGTGTGTGTTTTTTTTTAAAGGAAGGAGAAAAAACTGGAAATATATTGTTACAATATATTGTCTTTTATCCCTTTTTCCGTGTGTTTATTTTGTTTATTTTTTACGTTTTTAAAGGCAAGCGGGAAAAAACAAAACTATGGAAATATGTATTTATAATTTAGTATGCCTTTTATCCCTATTTCCGTGTTTATTTTGTTTCTTTTTTTCCGTTTTTATATGTAAGAGAAAAAACACTATGGAAATATGTGTTTATGATTTAGTATGTCTCTTATCCCTATTTCCATGTATTTAATTTGCATATAATGGAAATATGTATTTACAATTTAGTATGTCTCTTATCCTTATTTCCGTGTATTTAATTTGCATATAATGGAAATATGTATTTACCATTGAGCGTGTCTTGTATCTGTTTGTTATGCTCGTAAGTCGTTCGTGGCATTAGGCAAGTGGAGGCAGCCTGTAAGTGGTGTGTTGGCTTGAGGCGCGATGAGGTGTGTCAAGTTAACCGTCAAAATTGTTCCTCATATTAGAATTGCGCGTTGTGCGTGTGCCGCTGGCGTGGCATGACGCTGCTGGAGTGCCATGTCGTAGTTCAACCTCGTGGGATGATGATGGGGGGCGTTCGTGCACGGTGGAGTCCAAGGATCGGTGGGTGTCATGGCGAGGGAGAATAACCTTCTGTATTAGCTATGTGTGTGTGGGGGGGGGGGGCATGGAGAGGGGGGTGAGGAACG